CCGACATGGGGGTGGAACTGCATGCGGACCCTGCCACTGGGGCCTTCCGCGGAGCACCCTATGGGGCCACGAAACGCTGCAATGGGCGGGTGGAACGCAAGGAGGAGGGAGGAGAGGGAGGAGGAGGGAAGAGAGGGAGGGGGGAGGGGGCAGCGGGAGGTGGGAACGCGGGGCGAGGTCTCTTCAAAACGAGGACCCAACACCAGAGGATGGTTGGGAAAAAAAGACCCCCCTTGCCTGATGCCTGACACGAGCGAAAAAATTGCGGACCTGGCCGACATCGATGCGCGGCCTCGTCTTCCAAAGGTCGCGCCAGCGCGCCGTCTTCTCATCCACCACATCCCCGGTGTGAAAAGTCGCACCTGCTTTACCGTCGTCAATCTCGCAATTGGAGAAAGGAGAAGGCTTGGTAGCCCTGAAAAGTTTGCCTGTGTTCTCATTGTTTATTATCCGTTGTTTAAACTCGCGCGAGAAGCTGTTGGTGGCCTTCGTGCGGGACCGTCTACAGATATTCCCCAACTCAGTGCAAGCCGCCTCCAACTTTTCAAGCGTCTGTTCCCGCAGATGCCCGAGAAAGTGTTGCCAGCCCTGCCGCGCTGTCGCCGTCGGAGCCTTGCCGGCGAACTTGCGTGCACTATCGGGATAGTGACCAACCAGCTTGATCGCCGCCGCCGACAGAGCCTGCACCTGCTTGCAACCGTTCCCCTTGGCCACGCGGCGCATGACTTGCCGAGTGAGCGCAAGGGCCCGAGCCCGCCAGTTGGCCGCTGTGTCAGAAAAAAAAAAAAAAAAAAAAAAAAAAAAAAAAAAAAAAAAAACATATCTCGATAATGCAAACTACCTTGTACGCGATGCATCTCGAGTCGAGGACACGCAGCACGAGCGGGCCCCTTACAGTCTTGATCCCGACCACGATGCCACAAAATACACTTCTCAACAGCATCGATCCACCCAGCAAATACTCCACTGATTGGAAGGATATTCTCCTCAGATGCCTGATAGGCCAGTGACTCGCGAATGGGGGCCCACACCTGCTCTTCGGTCTGAGGGCGAAAGCCAGAACTGGTTCGAGCCGAAAGCCGCAGATCGGCAGGAATGGAGAAAGAGACACCGGCAGGGGCAGCAGCAGTGGGAGTGAAAGGGCCAGGAGAAACCCTGTTGTCAGCCTGCTCGGGGGTCGGGGCCTCGCTCAGGGAGGCCCTTAAATCGCCCCCTGAATTAGACGCAGAAGGCCCGTCGGCAACAGAGGAATTCACGGCCGGAGCACTCCTTTGAGAGACGGGCAAACCCTTTTTCCCCCTCGACGCTGCATCTGTCCACGGCCATGTGAAAACTGAGCTCGTCAGCCCACGGGTCCAAGTCGCCCTCGCCCCACGGGTCGCCAGTTACGACGGCCTCTGGCGGGGCGAGGCGGGGCTCTGGAGGGGGGGGGGGGGGGGGCCAAGGCTCATGCTCGCTTTGGGCGGCAGGCGGCGCTACGTTGCCAACGGAGCCCCTGCCCCAGAGATCCCCAAAGAGAAAGGCAGATTGTTCGACTTGCCTTGAAACGAAAGGGCCCTCTTGGTGACAAGCTCTTGCTTGGCTCGGGAGGGCTTGCCGCCCGCCTGCGGGGCCGCCCAGGGGCGATCCACCCGCGGGAACCTTTCGGCAAGGCGCGGCGAACGAGAGATGAGCTGCGCCCCCCGAGCCACGGAGCTGGAGAGCGAGACCAATGCGAAGCCCCCAAGGGACATCTAAGACCGCATGGAGCCCCAAAACGCATGGGGCGGCGGCAGGGGAAGCGAGAGCGTAATCGATGCGCGACCCTCCCTGGGCACTGGCACACGTAGACTCAATCGGAGCCTGCAAAATCGCGGCCCCCACTTTCTCGACAAAACCCACAGAGACGAGAATGGAAGCAGGGGCGTTAAAGCCCCCTTATCGCAATCCAGGGAAGCTGCAACGCACAAAGAACACTACCTAACTTGGCAAACCTACGAATGTTGCCCCCTGAGAAGCCTATAGAATTGTGGCCATAACAAATCACGACGACTAAGCTATAGCCCTGCTGGCGGACGACGACAGGAAGGAACCCATCCAACATGTCAGCACCGTCGCTGCAGAGCCCTCCGAGTCCCCCGAGACTGCCAGTGAGATGATGGACCTGGCGATGGCCTTGGGCGAGGAAAAGCTCGCCTCCTTCATTGGCGCGCAATGTCCCTGAGGCCGTCGCACAAGGTCTGCCTGACGGTCTGGCTGGGTTGGTCGGGGCTTTGAATTTAGCAGAACGAAACTTGGAAGTCCAATTGGCCTCAACATTCGCACCTACGTGCGACTCACACAGACCAAAATATTGGAACACCTTGCGGCGATGCAACTCCTGAATATAGCTCCAAGACTTCTTGCCGAGGATGGCAATGTTGGCGAACAAAAGCTGGGTGACCGCGCTATCCCCATCTGATGCGCTGGTACCCGAAGCCGTAGGCGATGTAGAGACTCCGAGCGCCTCGCCCTGGTCTGCACCTGCATGGTCAGACCCTGCCCCCGCGAGGGGGCTCTCATCTCACGCACTCGCAGTCTTGAGTGTCGCTGCCTTGGTGGCTGCGTCCACTCCCGCCTGCTTCGCCTTCCTGATGCGCTCGATATCCGCCTCGACTGCTTTCTGCTGGTCGATCCGCTGCTGCCCCTGCGATTGCAGCCCTGTGGCCGTCGCAGGGCCCTCGCTGGAGCCAGGCGCCCTCTGGGTAGGAGTTGCTGCCTCGCCACCTGTGGTGGCTGCCGTCTCCTGCGAGGGGGCCGCCTGGCTGTCGTTGCCCTTCCGCTTCTTCATCATGCGCTGGGTCACCTCCTCTTTCATGGCTGTAACCCGCGCTTTCCACGATGTGACCTGCTCGCTGGTGGTGTTGGTATGATTCCTGGTGGCTTCGAAGTCCGCTTTGAGTTTCGCCCCTCCCGCCCCGCCCCCTCGCACTCGAACTCCCCGCTCTCCACCTGCTGAAAAGAAAGGAAGGAGAGAGAGAGAGAGAGAGAGAGAGAGAGAGAGAGAGAGACAAAAAAAAAAAAAAAAAAAAAAAACATCCCACTGGAACTCTGCGAACTGCTTCTCTGATGACTTCTCTGACTGCGACAGAAGCGCCGCCTGATCTGGAAGTACAGCCGCGGCCAGGGCGCGAGCAGCAAGCTTGCGCGCGACCTCGGCCTCCGCCAGGATTTTGATGGCGCCAGTCTCCTTCTCGACTGCACGACCCAGCTGTTCTCGAATGTGTGCCGAATGCAAGCACGCCTGCTCATACTTGGCCTTTGCATCCTTCCGTGCTCCTTCAGCTCGACGGACGGCTTCTGCAAGCGACGGGATGTCGCCCTTGAGTGCCGTGTCCTGCTGCTCGAGGAGCTGGAGCTGCTGCAACAAGGCCTGCTTGACGGTCAGGTCTGTGGTCGAGCTCAGCATGGACGTGAGCATGTGCTTGCAAGCTTGCTCAGGTGCCACTGCTGCTGTGCCCTTGCCGTTGCCGCCCTTGCTCTTGCCCTTGTCCTTGGACGGACCAGAAGGAAGAAGACTCAGCAGCAAATCGTTGTCGTCTCTGTGCTTCTTGCTGGCGTACAACTTGACCTTGGAGTTGCACCTGTTGCAACGGCAGTCCCGACTGTTGAGGATGTCGTTCCATTCTGTAGTGTGGCACTTGCAGCATTTAGACCATGCCCGTGTCATGATATCTGATGGCTTCTGCAGCCTGCCTCGCTTTTGTCAGCACGATCGCCTGCAACCTGGCGCGGGAGACGTGCTGCCCCTCAAGCACCTCGTGGCGGCGCGAAGCCTGGCCGAGTGGGCGCGCACAAAATGTGACTGGGGGAGAGTGAGATGGAAAGGCCACCAGGAGCTCCCCTGCACCCGCTCGTGCCAGAATGCTTGAGGGGAGGAGGAGGAGGAGGAGGAGGACGAGGAGGACAACAAGGAGGAGGACGACGAGGAGGATGAGGATGAGGAGCAATAGGTGGACAAGGATGCGGCTTACCCTCATCCAGGTCCAGAATTGGACGCACAGAGACACTACTATTAAGTCGGGCTTGTCCCCCTACAGGGGGGATCTTCGACGAAAAATGAAAAATACTCCACAAATGCTCCAGAATGGTCAAAAAAAATACTCAACAAATAGTCCCCAGACTATCGTTTGTCTGTTTTTGAATATTCCCCCTGTAGAGGGACAGGCCCGACTTAATACAAATACTATGTGTCCTCCTTGGAGGCGCGCGTCCGACCCGAACATACAGTATACCCATCTTGTAGTACATCGTTTCGCGAGCGGTGTGGCCAGAAGGCGCCCGCCACGTCGCATATACCATGAGATTTCTCGGTGCGCGCGTCGCCCCTGCGGGGGCGACGCACGTATAGAATAAATATGTTGTGGCGACGCCGACAGCAATCCCCGAAGAAACGGCGGCGCAAGGACGACGGCGCTCGAGGAAGGAGTCCTTCGGAGGCCTGGGCTCGGGGGGTCCAAGCTCGACCGCCCGCCCGGGCCCGCCCAGGGGAAGGCACTCCGGCCAGAGCTCCAAAGAGAAGCCCGCCATCCCCACGAGGGCGCCCGAGGAGACTTGAAAACGCCCGTAAATGAAGGGGCCCCAGGACACACAAAAAATTACACACAAATAAAAAAGATTCCCCATATTTCCCTATATTTTCTGGGTTTGTCTTCCCCCCACTGCCCATATTTTCCAATATCTTCGGGGAAATCGACGATTCATTGTGTCTGTGTGTTTTTGTTCCCTCCTGAGTAAACCTGGGCACCCGACCCTCGGTGGTGGACAACCAGACGCCGACGTGCGACGTCGTGATGCTTGTCCATATGGGGCCCCCGCACGTCCCGACCCTTTCCCAGCGGCCAACTTCCCATCGCGAGCCGTTTCTGTATCAGCTCTGGGGCCCGACGAGGGCCTCCGGGGGCCGCGAATGGCCAAAGCCTTCCGTCGTGATTTTTCCGTGCCGCGAGCATGTCTGGGTACGTCTTTCCCCTCGCCCGGTCCTCGCGGTCGCTGCCCCCCGCCGCGTCGTGCAGCGTCGACGCCGACTGGGCCAGGCTCGACGGCAGCCCGGCGTACTCGGGCTCCTCCACCTCGCCAGGGCTCGGCGGCGAGGGGCGAGAAGGAAGGGAGGAAGGAGGCACTGCTCAGGGATGTTTTTGCTGCGACCTATTGTCTTGGTAACGATCCACGCGTACTGGTCGTTTCCCTGGGGGGCAGCCGGGAAATCGCTTGGGCGGGGTGGGCCTGCGATTGGATCACCTGCGCAGAGCCTGAGAGCACCGGCAGGGCGCCTGCGAGCAACGGCAGGGCGCCCTGCGAGCACTCAGCGGTGTTGGGCCCGACGCCCCCCAAAGACGCACCATCGTCACCGCTACCCGGAGGGGGGCGGGGGCCCAGATAACGACCCTTGCGCGCCAGAGGATGGCAACGAGTCAACAGAAACAGGTGCTTTTGATCTGCGGGGCGAGATCCGCTAAAAGCTAGGCGGGCTACGCACAGCTCTAATTGGGGAGACAGGGCACAGGCGGGCGGGGCCTCAGTCAACAAAAACAGGCAGACCACAAAAAAAAAACGCAGCTGGACTGCCCGTGCGGTGAGAGGCCGCTCGGGGCCGCGACCGCCCCACCGCGAGCGCCACCACCCCGAAGGGCATGTGACCCTACGCGGTCGGGGGGCCGGCGGGCCAGCGCCCCCTGGCGGAGACGACCCGCTTGCGCGCCCGCGCCTCCCGCCCCCCGCCGCCCATCCCCCGGCCAGCGCCCAGGGCGCCGCCCAGACCGGCGGGCACGGCTGGCGCTGCGTTCCCCCCAAGGAGGAGGAGAGGGAGGAGGAGGAGGAGGAGGAGGAGGAGGAGGAGGAGGAGGAGGAGGAGGAGGAGGAGGAGGGGCCTGCCCCGGTGCTCGGAATGGCCCTGTCCTACGCCTGGCCAGGGAAGGAGCCTCTCGAAAACCCAGGACTGGCTGCAGCTGCAGATTTTGTACCCCCCCCTTGTCACTATGCCCTCTCTGCAGTCCGACACGACTCGGCGGCGAACCCGAGGCTTCCCCGAAGGCGCGAGGGCTTCTGAGAGTCCCCACCGCCCTCTGTAAAGGAAGGCTGGCAGTGTTTGGACAAAAACACCCCCCCCCCCCCCCCAAAAAAAAAAAAAAAAAAAAAAAAAACCACAAACAACAACAAAACAACAACACAACAACAACAACAACAACAACAACAACAACAAACAACAACAAGCCCCCACAACCACAATCAACACAACAACAACAACAACACAAAACAACAATCATTTACCCGAACGCTAGTGGTTCTCACCAGTGCCCGGGTTTTCATAGGAGGCGGGCAATACCCCCACTTTGTGGGGGGGCCGGTTCAAGCTCTACCAAGTTTCCACACGACTCTTCGCCACCACCCACACCCAGCTTCCCGCCCTATGACGTTCGGACACTTCACTTCGTGGCCTGCGGACGACCGTGGCTACTACACTGGCGTGGAGTACACACCCACAGAAGTTGTAAGCCTACGTTCGTACACCCACAGAAGTTGTTAAGCCTTGTTAACCCACAGAAGTTGTTAAGCCTTCCACAGAACATCTGTTGCATATGATGCATATGGTACATGATACACATGATACACATGATACGTACTCACAAGATAGTTGATCACATCTTTAGGGCAAATTCCTGAGGGATGTGGGAATGCACAAGAGAGAGAGAGGATATGGTTGTCCCGATGGTTGTCTCGATGGTTGTCCCGATGGTTGTCCTGATGGTTGTGGTTGTCCCGATCGTTGTCCCGATGATTGTCCCGATGGTTGTCCTGATGGTTGTGCTTGTCCCGATCGTTGTCCCGATGACTGTCCCGATGATTGTCCCGATGGTTCTCCCGATGGTTGTTCCGATGGTTGTCCCGATGGTCGCGCGGGTAGAAATTTTGAAAAGTCGTGCAGGTGTTTTTCGAGGACCTACGGTGCGATTCGTGTGATTTTATGATGCGCGGTGGTAAAATTCTTAAGAACCCAATGGTTTTTGGAGATTTCGGCGTGCGCGCGCAAAAAAACGAATGTGTCCCGCATGGTATTATTTGACAGGGATGATGGCCCTGGCAGGTGCGCAACCGTTGTTGCAGAAGTTCGAAAAAGTTGCTCGCAAAAGCCCGTTTGACAGAAATGTTTAAAAAGTGTTTGGTTTCCTACGAATCCGCAAGAGCGCGCGGGATGAGATTTTGACGTTTTTTTGTTGAAAAACCATTGGTTTTTTGATGTTTTTATGTTAAAATCGCTGCGAACACTAAGGTTTTGGAAGGATTTCGTCTTGCGCGCGCGAATGTCCACTTTACCTTATTTTTTGCAAGGGATTCTTGAAATTTGATTATATTAGAACAAGAAATGTCATTTTATAGTGTTTTTTTGCAAGGGAAAACGTATTACAACAAAACAACCGGATCTGGACCCCATCCACTTTTCTGAAGCTTTCGCGAAAAAATGATGAAAATGTAGCTGCGGCCTAGGCGCGGCGGGGGGGCCGTGCACCAGGGGTCCCAACAATAATTATTCTTTAGAATTAATAATGTTCAACGAGTGGCCTGCAGGCCACGACTCGGGCCTCGAGCGGCCGATCGGGTCGACTCGGGCACGCCCGAGACGCTCTCGGCGAGGTCCTCCTGCAGCCGAGAACCGCCGCCCCGAGACACGACGCGAGAGGCCGCCCCAGACATGCGACGTCTTGGCTTTCTGCACGCGGGGTCCCCAGAAGTCCCGACCCTTTCCCCGGGACTGGCTCGTCATCCTGCGCTGTTCTTTCACGGCCCCGGGCGGCCGGTGAAGGCCTCCAGAAGCCAAAGAGCTGCCAAAAACCTCCTGCCGTGATTCCCTCCCACGACGCGAGAATGCCTGAGGACCCGCCTCCCCTGTTCAGGGCCTCCCCCCTGCCGTGTGTGTTTTTGTTGTTTGTGTGTTTTGTGTGTGTGTGTGTTTTTGTGTGTGTGTTGTTTCCCCACAGTGTGTTTGTTTGTTGTGTGTTGTTTGTGTTTTTTGTTTTGTTGTATGTGTTTTTATGTGTTTTCTCCCCCCGCGCAGCGGCCTCCGAGCACTCGCCCTCTCGCCGCTTGCGCGGGTCGCCCCTGCCGCGCTGGGGGCTGGGCCGCGCCAGACCCCGCTGCAGGGGGCACGCCTGGGGGGGGCGGCGCAGTCCATCCTCCTCGTCCTCATCCTCCATTCCTCCATCCTCCCCATCCTCATCCTCATCCTCCATTCCTCCATCCTCCCCATCCTCATCCTCCCCTTCCTCGTCCTCCTCATCCTCCATTCCTCCATTCCTCCATCCTCATCCTCATCCTCCATTCCTCCATTCCTCCATCCTCCTCATCCTCATCCTCCCCTGCCTCGTCCTCCTCATCCTCCATTCCTTCTTCTCCCCCCGGTCGCACCCCAAGGCCAGTCGGAAAAGCGGCCTGAGCGTTTCGCCCGAGACCTCCTTACCGTGCATGGTTCCGAGGCTTCAAGAGCGGCAACAGCTTCGCAGATGGAGGGCAGGTGGTTTTCAACATGTGGTTCTCGCCTAACGCCGCGAACATCCGTTCTAGAACATGCGAGAATTGAACGGATTGAGGGCGGGTCGTTTTCAAAACGTGGTACTGCCTTAGCGCCGCGCATCTTCGTCTTAAGGAATTGAACCAGCTTGACGACTTGAGGGTGGCTCCTTTTCAGAATCTGGCCCTCGCCTTAGCGCAGCGCACATTCGTTTTACATGTTTACATGAATTCTGCGGATTCCCATGGTTAACGTACCAGATATTCTGTTTTGCAACGATGCAGGGCTGCCAGGGCGTAACATTGATTTGATGCGCGGTGTTGAAGTTCTGGCACCATTCAGGAGCTTCAAGACGCAAAGGTAAGGTTGCTTCGCGGCGTTGGGGTCCCGAGAATGGTGTTTTGGCACGCTTCAAGATCTTCAAACGGTTGTCTTCCAACCGGGCACTTCTATCAGAAGACTTGAACCCTTGCAGGGGCATACGAAGAGGGAGCTTGGAAGAAGGGCTTATTCCAACATCGTTGGTCAGTCTTGGATGTGCACTGGTCCTCCTCCTCCTCCTCCTGCTCCTCCTCCTCCTCCTCCTCCTCCTCCTCCTCCTCCTTCTCCTTATCCTCCTCCTCCTCCTTTCCCTGTTCCTCCTCCTCCTCCTCGTCCTCCTCCTCTTCCTCCTCCTCCTCTCCTCCTCCTCTTCCTCCTCCTCCTCTTTCTCCCTCTTCCTCATCCTCCTCATCCTCCCCCCTCGAGGAAGCGTACAGTGTTTCCATGTCCTCCTCCTCCTCCTCCCTCGTCCTCCTCCTCCTCCTCTTCCTCTCTCTTCCTCCTCCTCCTCTCCCTCCTCCTTTTCCTCCTCCTTTCTCTCCTCCTCCTCCTCCTCCTTCTCCCTCTTCCTCATTCTCCTCATCCTCCCCCATCGAGGAAGCGTACAGTTTTTTCCTCCTCCTCCTCCTCCTCCTCCTCCTCCTCCTTCTCCTCCTCGTCCTCCTCCTTCTCATCCTCTTCCTCCTCGTCCTCCTCCTCCTCCTCCGAAAGAGAGAGGGGGGGGTGAGGAGCCCGAGTCTCGGTCGAAGACATGGGCCCACGGAGCGCTTCGGCTGCCCCCCGGGGGGGCGCCAGCAGCACGAGGAGCCCGAACGCCAGGGCCGCCAGCAGCGCCAGCAGCGCGCCGAGCACGGCGGAGGACGGCGCCCCCCCAGCGCTGCTGGCAGCCCGGGCGCCGCCCGCGCCGTGGGTGCCAGAGGGCACGGCGCTGAACTCTCCTCGGACGCCCAAAGACGACAACCACGACGGCCACGAGACGACGACGACGACGACGACGACGACGACGACGACGACGGCGACAACGAAGACGAAGACGAAGACGAAGACGAAGACCACGACGACGACGACGACGACGACGATGACGACCACGACGGCCACGACGACCACGGAAAAGACGACGACGACGACCACGACAACGACGACGAAGACGAAGACAACGACGACCACGACGACGACCATGACGACGACGACGACCACGACCACGACGACAACGATGACGACGACGACGACCACGACGACGACGACCACGACGACCACGACCACGACGACCACGACGACCACGACGACCACGACGACGACGACGACGACGACGACGACGTCAATCACGACGACGACAAACACGAACACCACGACGACGATGACGACGACGATGATGATGACGACCACGACGACCACGACGACCACGACGACCACGACGACGACGACGATGACGACCACGACGTCCACGACGACCACGACGACGACAACGACCACGATGACGACGACGGCGACGACGACGACGACGACGACGACGACGACCGCGACGACCACCACGACGACCACGACGACGACGACGACAACGACGACGACGACGATGACCACGACCACGACGACCACGACGACG